TGAATTTCGATAGACATATTCAAAGAAAGGTACCCTAAAGACAAAAATAGGTATGGGGAGAATTTTTGAAAGCAGAGTTTTGATAACCTTAATTTCTAGATTTTTATTTTCCTTCTGTCATACACCAGGTGGCAGATATGAGATAGAAACTTGAAGTTTTTCTTTTAACAATATGTTTGCATTTAGAGGAGAGAGACACAGTCCAACTCCCAAGCCAGCTTTAATTTTTAAGTGAGGCATAACTACCATCATATTGAGAAGTAAGGAGATATATATGTTTAGGTAGTGAGAGTTTACCCTGCAAAGATTTTTCTTTGCTTGATGAGTCTTTCTGGATAGCTATCTTTTCTTCTTTAGGTGTCTAAATGTCCAAGGTCTCTTGACTTCTCGAAGACGAGTATTTTCTATTTTCCTGCAAAGACGAGAACAGAACCTTGTCCCAACCCTTGTGAGGATTCTTTACAACTTGTATGATTGTCACCTCTATGAATGAGCTGTCATTTCTCTATATCAAGAGGTTTCTCCTTTTCAAACAGAATCTTGATTAATTTTCATGGTATCTGTAGCTTTTCTTCTCCTGTGGAAACAGAAACAAAACCCCTTCCCCAACATAGCTCATCTCCTGGTTTCTGTTGTGAGGTCAACACATCCTTGAAGTACACCAGCTGATTTAATTCAGAAGTTTTTTCTGTTGTCTAATGTTTCTCTGCAGCTGTTTTTCTTTTCTCATTAGCATTAAGAAAATTCAAAGTTAATAAAGCATTATGCAATCAATTTCTGGAAGTATTTATCATACTTTTCTGTTTATATAACATATATCCTTTATAGTTCAATTTGATCTTATAACTGCCTGACCTGTAGGATTGTGTGGTGTACCTGTAATATACTTATAATAGGCAAAAAAACTGTTTAATTTTCTTAGAGACACATGCTGGAACATTGTCTGCTTTTATTTTGTGCAGGTAGACCCATGATGGCCATAACTTTTAATAAATGTGTAATTACTGAATCAGCCTTTTCTGAATGCAAAGCAGTTTTCCATTGAAAACCTAAATCAATGGTGTGGTATGCATATTTTAATTTTCCAAATTCTACAAAATGGAACATATCTGTCTGCCAGATTTCTTTCCTTTGAGTACCCTTTGGGTTACTTCCTGCAGGTCATGGTGTTTGGTTGTATAAAGAACAAGTAGGAATCTTATAATTCAAGTAGGAAAGCTTATCATTTCCTTGGCTTGTTGCCATGTGATGGAAAGATCCTTTTTCAAACCTTTGCTATTGACATATTTTTTATAAAATTCTGAGGCCTTCAGCACTTTTAAAATCAATAATTGATTGATTTCTGCATTATCTTGTTCTAGAGGACCTAGCAAGCCCATTTGGAATCAGACATGTGTTATGTATATGGGATGATGTCTATTCCTGATTATATATTGTACCTTAATAAGTAATCAAGTCAATTCTGTATCATCTGGTTTCAATATGCAATACAACTCTGCATATCACGAATCAGTAACTATTTTAAGAGGTTCTTTAAAATCCCTTAGTATCAGCCAGGCAGTGGTGGCACATGCCTTTAATTCCAGCACTCGGGAGGAAGAGGCAGGTGTATCTCTGTGAGTTCGAGGCCAACCTGGTCTACAAGAGCTAGTTCATGACAGGCTCCAAAGTTACAGAGAAACTCTGTCTCGAAAAACCAAAAAGAAAAAAAATCCCTTAGTATCATGAGAATAGCATGTAATTCTGACTTCTGGACAGAACCATAAGGGCTTGTTCCACTTTACTTAAAATTTCTGCCTTTCCAGATGTATTTGCATCAGTATAGAATGTAGGGTCTCCAGTTAGTGGTGTGTCCAGTACAATGCAAGGAACAATCCAATTAGTTGTCTTTTTTTTTCTTTTTTTTTTTTTTTTGGTTGTCTTTAAAAGTCAATTATCTGGATTTGGGGATAGTTGTTGTTAATCTCTCCCAAAAATTACTACAAGCTTTTTCCCAGGGTTCACTTTCTTCCCATAATTTGTCAATTTCATCATTATTAAATGTTGCTATGCTGGGCTGGGCGGTGGTGGCGCACGTCTTTTATCCCAGCACTCGGGAGGCAGAGGCAGGTGGATCCCTGTTGAGTTGGAAACCAGCCTGGTCTACAAGAGTTAGTTCCAGGACAGCTAGGACTGTTATACAGAGGAAACCTGTCTCAAACAAAACAACAACAACAAAAAGGTACTATAATTTCTGCTGGGTCTATTTCTGATAATTCACAAAATCTCAGTTTTCCTTTTAGAATTAACTTAGAGACCTTTTCCATGTAATTTTTTAACTTTTTATTCAGTTTATTTGGCTAAAAAAATCCATTCTAAGATAATGTCTTTCCTCTGCATTAAAATTCCTGTAGGGAATTGTTTAGAGGGTAATATGACCCTAATGCAGTTAAAATTTGGATCCATATGATCCTTCTGCAATTTCTCTTCAATCAAGGTGTTTTTTCTCAGCTCCAGAAAATAATTCCCTGGGACTATTTAATTCCTTGTCACCACCTAAAGTTTTGTTTAAATTAATCAGGTCATCAGGACCTATCCCAATAGTTTGCCAGAGATGGGAAATGTCTCCTAGCAGTCTTTGGAAGTCATTAAGAGTCTGCAACCGATCTCTCCTAATTTGCAACCTTTGAGGTCTAATTTTTTTGGAAACCTATCTTATAGCCTAAATAATTAATAGAATCTCCTCTTTGTATTTTTTCAGGTGCAATTTGTAATCCCCAACAAGGCAAATTTTTCTTCTTCAAACATTTTTCTAAAGTATGTACATTTGAATCAGCAGAATGTCATCCTGTAATGATAAACTATAGATTAAGGAAATTGCTTACGTATCATTTCCAATGACTGACTTACAAAATATTGGCACAGAGTAGGGCTATTTAACATTCACTATGGGAGAACCTTCCATTGATATCTTTTAGCAGGCTGAGGATTATTATAAGTAGGCACTGTGAAGTCAAATACAGATTACCAAGGGCTGGTTGACTCTTCAATATGCTGAGCATCTTGTTGCTCCTGTACCAACAGACTTCTAAAGTCTGAAGTTTCTCTTTTGTTAAAGGTCATTGCTTAACCCATATAGGTTTATCTGTCAGCCTTTTTGTTGTTGTTGTTGTTGTTGTTGTTGGGGTTTTTTTTGTTTGTTTGTTTGTTTTGTTTTTTCCGAGACAGGGTTTCTCTGTAGCTTTGGAGCCTGTCCTGGAATTAGCTCTTGTAGACCAGGCTGGCCTCAAACTCACAGAGATCCACCTGCCTCTGCTTCCCGAGTGCTGGGATTAAAGGCATGCACCACCACCACCCTGCATCTGTCAACCATTTTAAAGGTCGGGCTGTTGGTGCCTTTGAAATATCAGCAGCTGTTGTGTCCTGTTCTTATACAACCTGAATGGTCAGTGACTGTTCTTTATAAAACCATCTAATATTTTTCCCAGAAACATATGTTAATTTATGGTTTGTTTCTAAGATTGGGGGAATGTTAATCTGAGTATTACATTGTCATCACAAATCACATCCCCATAAATTTATTGCTATGTCAGCCACATATGCTTTTAATATTCCTCTCTATCCTTCTGGTCCTATACATTTGACCCATCTCCACACTCTGCTTTACCTGAGATAAAGTTTCAATCCCTAAAAACTGAACATTTATGTATTTTTAATTTTGGTCTTTGTTCATTTATAGAAGTTTGTCTGCCAGGTGGTAGTGTCACACGCTTTTAATCCCGGCACTCAGGAGTCAGAGGCAAGTGGGTCTCTGTGAGTTTGAGGCCAGCCTGGTCTACAGAGCAAGTTCCAGGACTGGCTCCATAGCTACTGAGAAACCCTATCTCCAAAAAAAAAAAAAAAGTTTACCAAAATACTCACTTTATGGTTTCTCTCTTCTACAATAGGCATTAGGTTCTTTAATTGCTCTGGGAAATATTTTCCTCTATGATGGCAGGAAATANAGCAAGGTATATTTAGTGAGTCTCTCCTCACCCCACCTTTTTTAAGCATGCCATAGAAACCCATTCATGGGTGTATCTTGGATGCGTATCAATTTATAGATTTGGTTCAACTTAGTTTGAGTCAATTTCTGTCACTTAAATCTGCTATGATGGGCCATTTTATTGTAATAAATACCTTACATTAAGGCCAAGGCATTATTTGATACTGTTCACAAACTGAACTCATTACAAAGGAAAATTCTTTGTTTGGTGCTTATGGGCTTATGGGTAAATGTGTGGGCCTGTGTTTGCATGTATATGCTGATAGTATTTAAAATATTCCACAGAAGCTTATATGGAAGGATATCGTCAAGCTCATAAAGTGTCAGAGCTAAAAGATATATGTATATTTTTGGTCCCCTCTCTCCTCCCATTTAAACTTTGCCTAGAAAACATCAATCAACCTTCAATTTCCTTGTTCCTATTCCCAATCACTCACCCTCAAGGGTCAGGAAGTAGTTTTTATTCCAAATTCTTATCCTCTAATTTCTCTCTTATCTACCTCAGTATCTCAGGATGCTCAGACAAGGCTGCATTACTTTGCCACATGGTTGGTGCCTCCTGTTTAACAGTGACAGAAAAATTAGGTTTTGTAATAATATATTAGCACACATATTCTAAAACCCTCCAGACAAGGATCTAAAACATACAAAGAATTTTTTTTTTTCGAGACAGGGTTTCTCCATAGCTTTTTGGTTCCTGTCCTGGAACTAGCTCTTGTAGACCAGGCGGGCCTCGAACTCACAGAGATCCTCCTGCCTCTGCCTCCCGAGTGCTGGGATTAAAGGCGTGTGCTACCACCACCCGGCCTAAGAATTTGATCTAAGGAGATTTCCCTACCTCTAGCTTTACTCCATTTTTCAATCATCTTAGCCTCTTTTCTGAACCAGGTACTCCATTGTAATTGTGGAACAGGCAATTAAGCACCCTTAACCAAATCTATCCAGTTGTTAGGGTTAATTTTATTACAAACTGACCACAGTTTTTTTAAACATTTGCTTCACAAAAGGTGAATGCATGCCATAAGAAACAACTGCTTCCTTAATATCCTTTAGATCTTCATACATATAGGTGCCCATTCTGTATATCCTATTTGATATTTACTATTTGCTGATTTTTCAGAAATAGTAACAGAATAAGTATCTAAAACTCTTGGTAAGTCATCTCTGACTCTGATGTTAAGTCTTTACTATTGTCTTTTGATTGTACCTCATCTCTGTGCTTATCAGTTCTGACAAGTTCTTCAGTGCTTTCAAATCTGTTTATCACTGTCTTTTTTAGAGTCTGAATTTCTTGACCTGTGAGTATTTCTAATGATTTCCTCAAATCAATTAATCTGTGGTTTTCATCATGTACATATGATTCCAAGTCTTTAAGTTTTTCCATTAATG